ATACACATATAGTTAAAAACAATGACACCCCTGGGGCGGGGCCAGTTTTGACCCCAGGGCTTTTATTTAAACAGACTTTGTAGACACTTACTAGAAGATGTTTCATAATTAAGATCTAAACTCTAGCTATTTGGGTTTTTTTAAAAGAAGATTTTAAGTTTTTGCTATACACATATAAGGAAAATCAATGACCCAGGGGCAGGGCCAATTTTGACCCCAGGGCTTTTATTTGATCAAACTTTGTAGACACTCACTAGAAGATGTTTCATGCTATATATCTAAACTCTAGCTATTTGGGTTTTTTCAAAGAAGATTTTTTAAGTTTTTGCTATACACATATTAGGAAAATCAATGACCCCGGGGCAGGGCCAATTTTGGCCCCAGGACTTTTATTTGAACAAACTTGGTAGACACCTATTAGAACATGTTTCATGCTAAATATCTTAGCTCTAGCTCTTTGAGTTCTTTAAAAGAAGATTTTTAATTACTATATGCATACAGGGAAAATCAATGACCCCCTGGGGCGGGGCCAATTTTGACCCCAGGGCTTTTATTTGAACAAACTTGGTAGACACCCATAAGAAGATGTTTCATGCTAAACATCTAAGCTCTAGCTCATTGGGCTTTTTAAAAGAAGATTTTTTTTCAGTTTTTACTATACACATATACAAAATGTAGTTAAAAACAATGACACCCCTGGGGCCGGGCCAGTTTTGACCCCAGGGCTTTTATTTGAACAAACTTTGTAGACACTTACTAGAAGATGTTTCATGCTTAATATCTAAACTCTAGCTATTTGGGTTTTTTCAAAGAAGATTTTAAGTTTTTGCTATACACATATAAAGAAAAGCAATGACCCCCGGGGCGGGGCCAATTTTGACCCCAGGTCTTTTATTTGAACAAACTTTGTAGCCACTCACTAAAAGATGTTTCATGCTTAATATCTTAACTCTAGCTATTTGGGTTTTTTCAAAGAAGATATTTTAAGTTTTTGCTATACACATATAAGGAAAATCAATGACCCCCGGGGCGGTGCCAATTTTGACCCCAGGGCTTTTATTTGAACAAACTTGGTAGACACCTATTAGAACATGTTTGATGCTAAATATCTTAGCCATAGCTCTTTGAGTTCTTTAAAAGAAGATTTTTTAAGTTTTTACTATATGCATATAGGGAAAATCAATGACCCCCGGGGCGGGGCCAATTTTGACCCCAGGGCTTTTATTTGAACAAACTTGGTAGACACTTATTAGAACATGTTTCATGCTAAATATCTTAGCTCTAACTCTTTTGGTTCTTTAAAAGAAGATTTTTTAAGTTTTTACTATATGCATATAGGGACAATCAATGACCCCCTGGGGCGGGGCCAATTTTGACCCCAGGGCTTTTATTTGAACAAACTTGGTAGACACCTATTAGAACATGTTTGATGCTCAATATCTTAGCCATAGCTCTTTGAGTTCTTTAAAAGAAGATTTTTTAAGTTTTTACTATATGCATATAGGGAAAATCAATGACCCCTGGGGCGGGGCCAATTTTGACCCCAGGGCTTTTATTTGAACAAACTTGGTAGACACCCATTAGAACATGTTTCATGCTAAATATCTTAGCTCTAGCTCTTTGGGTTCTTTAACCCATTACTTCATGAGCATTTTGTGAAAAATGGCTGTTTTCATTGAAAAGTCTCCCGTTACAAGTTCAAATTGCTATAATACTATAACAAGAGCTGTCTGTAGGACAGCACGCTCGACTATTCTAAGTGTTGATAGTAAAAGAGCCTTGATATTGTTAAATTTTTTAAGTTTACAAAAGGGCTATTTTTTTTTATAAATTCTTGTTATAGGCCTTAGAGAGAGTCTAATTAAACAGTATTGGCTTGACTATTCGGAAGGTAATGTCACAAGGGTGTTTTATTGAGTATAATAATACTAATTACCTATGAATACATAAATTTGACAGAAAAGGTACAAAGGCTTGTTATTAAGATGTTTTATCAAGTAAATCACTGCTTTATTATTATGAATGCATAAAATTGTCCCAAAAAAGGCACAAACCCTTCAGTAGTTATTGAGATAACAGCTTACAAATGAATTTCTAAGTTGAAAAAGGGGAGAAAAATCAGCCTAAATGCAAGATAGAATTATGGATCTTTGTCAGTGACCTACAATTATGACCCTAAATGCATATGTGAAGTTTTAAATAAATATCTTTAATAGTAATGGAGATATGTAAAACTTGCATGTAAACATTAACCAAGAGACTAAGTAGAAAAGGGGATATGAATCAGCCTTAATGCAAGATAGAGTTATGGAACTTGGTCAGTGACATACAATAATGACCCTCCAATTATGACCCTAAGTGCATGTGTAAAGTTTCAAGTAAATATCTTTGAAGACCTTTAACCTTTAACCAAAATTTCTAAGTTTCAAAGGGGCAAATAATTCTGCAAATATTGCAGGCAGAGTTATGCAATTTTGCAAACTGATGTACATTGTTACTATAAAAAAGCATTTTAATTTTCAATTGAATATCTCAAGCAATAATTGAGATATTTGACTTTACAAAAAAACTTTCACCAAAATTTCTAAGTTCCAAAGGGGCAAAATTCTGTCAATATTGTAGGCAGAGTTATCAAACTTGTCAATCTGATGTACCTTGTTACTATAAATGAGTATTGTAAGTTTCAATTGAATATCTCAAGGAATAATTGAGATATTTGACTTTACAAAAAACTTTAACCAAAATTTCTAAGTTAAAAAGGGGCATAATTCTGTCAATATTGTAGGCAGAGTTATCCAACTTGCCAATCTGATGTACCTTGTTACTATAAATAAGTATTGTAAGTTTCAATTGAATATCTCAAGCAATAATTGAGATATTTGACTTTTACAAAAAAACTTTAACCAAAATTTCTAAGTTAAAAAGGGGCATAATTCTGTCAATATTGTAGGCAGAGTTATCAAACTTGTCTATCTGATGTACCTTGTTACTATAAATAAGTATTGTAAGTTTCAATTGAATATCTCAAGTAATAATTGAGATATTTGACTTTACAAAAAACTTTAACCAACGCAGACGCCGACGCGGACGCCGACGCCGGGGCGACTACAATAGCTCTCATATTCTTCGAATAGTCGAGCTAAAAACTGCTTCAACACTAATCAAACTTGGCACAAATGTTGACTGGACCATTGCCCTTGCAACAACATGCTCAGGCTTAAATTTTCTGTTACCATGGCAACGAGGGGACATCTCAAAATTGCCAAAAATCACTATTTTGCGTTGATTTTTTCCATCAAAATTGATTTCAAAGTGCTGCAACTTCTCAATGGATTAAGATAGAGTCAAATGCTTCTCAGCGTTGGTTACACGTTACCTTATGATCAATCTGGGGTCATTTACAGCCTCTCACAAGTCCAAAATTTTCTTGGCGATGAGAATCAATGACCCCCTGGGGCGGGGCCAATTTTGACCCCAGGGCTTTTATTTGAACAAACTTGGTAGACACTCACTAGAAGATGTTTCATGCCAAATATCTAAGCTCTAGCTCTTATGGTATTTTAAAAGAAGAAGTTTTTTCTTGCGGTTGCCATGGCAACCAGAGTTCTGCATGGAATTAAATTCTTTGAACAATTTTTAAAGATGACCACCAAAGGAACATTCCTGTGAAGTTTGGATGAAATTGGCTTAGTGGTTTATGAGGAGATGTCATTTAAAGTAAAAGTTTAGGGACGGACGGACAGACGCCGGACGAAAAGCGATCACAAAAGCTCACCCTGTCACTTTGTGACAGGTGAGCTAAAAATCCCTGTGACCTTGACCTTTGACCCAGTGACCTCAAAACCAATAGGGATCATCTACTAATCATGACTAACCTTCATGCCAAATATGAAGACTATGGGTCAAAGGAATCTCAAGTTATTGGGAGGAGAAGCTTTTTTAGTCAAGGTCCTTGTGATCTTGACCTTAGAACCAGTGACTTCAAAATCAATAGGGGTCATCTACTAATCATGACTAACCTCCATGCCAAGTATAAAGACTGTGGGTCAAGGGAATCTCAAGTTATTTGGCGGACAAGCTTTTTTTAATCAAGCTCCCTGTGACCTTGACCTTTAACCCAGTGACCTCAAAATCAATAGGGGTCATCTGCTAATCATGACTGACCTCCATGCCAAATATGAAGACTGTGAGCAAAAGGAACCTCAAGTTATTGGGCGGACAAGGAAAAACCGACGGACGGACGTCCGGGCCAAATGGAATAAAGGGCCATTTCTTTTGTTATTTTCTTTTGTTTAATAGAGGGCCAATGGCCCCTTACTCTATTGTTACGGAATGAACTCTATTGTTCTCTTTTGTTCTGTTTACAGTTAGATGGCCCTCTATCCCTTTTCGGTAGTGCAGACAGACGTCCAGACGGACAAGCTGATTCCAGTATACCCCCCTTACAACTTTGTTGTGGGGGGTATAAAAAGTGTATTTATTGTAAATATTCTAATAATTACATGCATGTATATAGAAATAGTGATAGTGTCTGCGTATTCTATGTATTGTTATTTAAATGTAATGTGTGTACATGTATATTTATTTGTGTTACTGTTTTTGTAAATAATATACATAAATTATTAATAAACGGCTGAAAATGTTCTAACCTCATTACTTTGTGTTTTATTTTAAAAAACGCATGGTCTTTCCAAATATAACAATACATTAATTAAGGGGTCGAAATGTTCGGTATATTTAAGGGTTCTAAGTGTCTTAGGGGTCTAAGTGTCAGGGGTTGAGATGTCTTGGGGGTCGAGGTGTCAAGGGGTCGAGATGTCATAAACTCCTAATAAATTGCTAAATAAGTGTTTTTTACCATTGTTACTTCCCCTTTGAACTTGCTTGGTTTATAAAAGAATGTTTAAGCAATTAAATTCAAATCAGCAAGCATCAATTTTGTTGTGCAGAGGGCAGGGAATATAATGAAATGTAAAAAATCATATGAATGAAAATATTACCATCTATCTCACAGAAAGTCTCCTGTGCATCATCATACTTGGTCCAGTTTTGAAATGCCTTTGCACTCTCCTCACTATAAAAAAACAAGATTGCATTTGTGACAAAATGTTATGCAACCACATAAGACTAAATATTAGGACACTCTGGTACAGTAGAACATAAGTAAATCAAAGTTGAAGGACTTGCATAAAACTTTGACACATTGGGACTCCGACTCATAAATCATTCTCAATTTAATGACAAAATTTACAAGCCATTGATTTTAACAAGCAAGTTATAAAAGGCGTAACCAAAGAATTGGGCGATAACTGAACAAGCTTATAGCAAATATATATACTGTGTGATTATCATATAATGCTGTCAAGTTCTCAAAATGAAAGCTGTTCTTAATGTTTACATTCAAATAACACTAGAACAATGTGAATTGTATCAATTATTAAAGCATACAAAGGCTGTCAGAACACACAGCTGTGTAATTTTCACCTTTCACAAAAGTTGATCGGAAATCATCCTCATGGCGGAAAAGTGTGAAAAATGCCTCATGAAAAATGTGTCAAAATATTCAAAGGAATTCAACTGATCTGTGGTAAATTGTACTTGATTTGTTGAGTACAGACCACAAAAAAAAAATTGACACATAATTCCGACTCATATATAGGTTTTTAAAAGAAATATATGGGTAAAAAATTGGGACTTTTATTTTTCGACTCATAGAAGTTCAACTATAGACTATTTTTTGTTTCTTTACAGATGAGCTTTGCAATTAGGCAGTAGTTTCCATCTAGTAAATATGGGGGTCAAAGTCAGGTGTGTACAAAGGCCATAATGTTATAATTGATTCAAAAGAAAAGTATTCTTACTTGATAAAAAATTTAGACAATTACATAGCTTTATTAAATTTAAAAATACTGTTACAGTTATTTTTCATAAATACAATTAAACTTCATTCGCTTGAACTCAGATGTCTTGAATATCTCCCTTCGCTCGAACTCATTGCCCAGTGTCGGCATCACTGTGTCATATGATATATATTGTTCTACTTCGGATCGCTCGAACACAATCATCTCTCGGACTACTCAGATTCCGACAGAATAGCCATGCTTGTCCGTCACAGGATGTATTTATAGTGAATTAACCTACTTTACGGTTAAATCTACTATAACAGACAACATAAGGTAGCTGGAGTGGATGGTTCATCTAACTAAGTCATGACAGTCAGCCGGCACAACAGATGTAGTTAATATACCAATCTTCTGTGATCGTATAGGAGTATAAACAGTCAATTTGAGTTAATTGCGAACCTTTAAAATAACAAGGTTTTTATTAAGCCGATCATTTAAGTATGAGAATGATGTAATTGTTTTTTTTGTGCCGTTTATGGGTAAGGAATAAAAGAAATAACAAATACCATAATATATGGCTAAATTAAATAAACTGCAGATACAAATATTTCATTCATTCCTGCTATAAAAATCATATATAATATCTTTATATAAAAACATATGAAGTGCAAAAGTCAATAAAGAATGACATTTACCTGGACGGTTTTAATAACAACTGCTGCTGTAAAATGTTGTTTTTTTTTATAAAATATTTTATTAATTCATTGTTTGTTTGAAATAAAATTTATCCCATAATAAACATTATAAATTATTAGGCCTATGTTCAATGTAATGATAGTTCAACCTCGTTTGGCTCGAACTTATACCAATCTCTCAAACAAATTTGCACAAGCCCTCTGACTTCAAGCAAACGAAGTTTCGACTCTGTATCTTCTTTTCTATATTTTTCAATAATTAAAGCAAATGTATAATAATAGTTAAATTAAGCTACTCATAGCACTACCTAAAAAGGAATTATCATTTCTCTGAATCATACTTAGTCATTTAATCAATGTCACACTGCCGACAATAATTTGAAAAGACAACATTTTCTTTCCATAGCAGGTCATTAAGGACCTCCCTGCCGTATCTCTCTTTTTAGACAACGAGTGATCTCAAGTCACAATCAGCTCATTTCCTCCATGTATACATTATAAAGCAACTTTTTAATAATTCCTGTCTTCCACACTTATAAAATCGTAGTAAAAAATGTACAGACAACGCTTTAAAACATTTTGTGACAAACATTTAAAAAAAGTACCACTGGAATGTTCTCAGCAGCTTAACTGTAAATTTTGTAGCGTGGATGCTCCTCGTCGCTTTTCATTTTCGTGTTAAACTGAAAAATTGCAATAGTAACTGTAAAAAAATCGCTGTCGCTTGACCAATATTAAAGTTAAAGATTGATGAAAAAGATAATCCATTTCCATGTTTTCCAACAAGTTTTTGCCTAAAAAGTCAATACAGTATTGAATAATTGATTCAGGCAATAACATAAGAAGTTCAAGAAATAGAAACCCTTATTTTCCATGATTTTTCTTTAAATGCTGCCGTCTCCGAAATGCAACTATGGTACCGTAACGATTTTAAAACTGGGAATGTACAATCTTGAGATATATAGGTTTATATTCTTTTTAAAATTTGTACTCAAAACAATATCAAGAAGACTATATTTGAAATAAAATTGATAAATAAGACTCCTGCGATGATACATTTTAACACAAACCCGCTTTATTGTAAATAATTCAAATGTCGTGTTTAAAATGCTATGCCTCCAAGTAACCGGGCGTTTTATACTTTTTAATATACATGAAATCTACCAATCAAATAAAAATTTTGAAATATTGTTTTGTATTTCTTTAAATGAAAAGACAACCAAAATGAGATGTCGGTTTGCACAAAAATGTGATAACTGTGATCCGTAGAAGTCTCTAATTTCACTATGTTTCCATAACAACTAATTTTTCCGTAACAAAACGATCACCCGAATTTCAGTACAGTATACGGTTTCAATTGACGGTGTGACTTTTTTGCTATCACCGCTCCAAATGATACGTCACTAGGAGTGTATGCATGCAACATTTTAATTGACTTTTAATGATACAATTGGGCAACTGGAGGTAATTGGCAATCACTTCTACTTTATTTTTGGCAACCACTGTTTTTGATTTGGATAACGATATTTTCACTATTATGTTACTTACAAGAAGAACTATAACTTTTACTGATGAAAAATTGAGTTGCAAGCATTAATTTTCAGCAAACCAAGATAGTCAAACAATGTAGGTCGGCAAGTTGATGCTATATTTTTTTTTTTTATCTGTTTAAAACATTTGTTACGCGGAACAATATTAATTATTTTGAGAACTCATAATCTGATGTTTCATATATGTACTTTATCCTATAAGTTAAGTTAAGTATATTTGAAATAGAAATGATTTGTTGTTTCAAACATGGAACACACATATTTCTATATGCGTGAGAACACAAGAAGTGTGTCACCAGAGTTTTTTATCAAATGTTTCTCAAAGGACAATTAGCTTACGGCAGAGGAATATCTCTATCATCGCTCTTCATTCTCAGCATCCTGATAAATAACATGAATCAGAATTCCAGCTTGTTTATCAACTCAAACTGTTCCTACAGTTAGTGTTTCTATACATCTATAAAGATGAGTACGAAATGCAGGTGTCCCACTCAATAACTGAGAAGTACTATAACTAGGAAATAAATGTATTGCGTTGTTGTAAGGAACTGCAGCTTTCCGTTACAAACATATATCGAGAATATTAGTTCACATCAGAAACTATTAGACAATTATAGTATACATGTTTGAGGATCATGATTTTTTCAAAGTTTTTTTACTATCTATTAAAAATACCAAAATGTATCATTATGTCACTTACATTATACTAAATATAAGACTTATGAACTTACTAGCATTATCATATCAATTACAAAGATATTAAATGTAATGGAAGTAATACATATTGGATGTTATAATTCACTTTATATTTGTTATAATAATATAGATAATTAATTTCATGATATCTATGAGAGTATTAAGTATTCATCGCATGTCATGTATCAAGGTTAATAAATTTATAATATAAATAACACTTTATCTTCTTACTTTTAGAAATTGGCTTGTCATATTAAACACTGACTACTACAGATAGAACAAAAGCAGAGAGGAGAAAAGAACAAAACTCATTTTAAAGAGAAATACAAATTCAGCGACAAAATAGTTGCAATTCATCACCACTCATAAAGAAAAAGCTCTAGTGAAGAAAATGTAGAAGTATCAGGGTGTCAGTTGGACATCGTTAATGACTTCACTCTATAGACCCTATCAATTTTCCTAAATAAGGTGCTACTGTCGTGAACCCATAGGATTATATCTGGTGCTGGAAGATGGTCAAATTTTGGTTGTAAACATTATTGGGGATTTGTCATTGTAGTCTCGGTAATTCTTAGTCAAAAGTGACCCTCAGCGAGTTTAAGGCGCTAGTATGATCTAGCGCGGCGACTGTAGAAAACTACAATGGCTAACATATAACAATTACAAAACATAACCTCTAGAGAGTGATAAAAATGAGTAGCAAAATAAGGCAAAATAAATAGTGAAATAAAAACATAGACTGACAAAACTCAGAGTACATATACTATTGCAGAAATAACTAAATACATCTGATGCTCATCATTTTCCATGAGACCAAGGTCCGTAATACAATATTCTTATTCCTGCACTTCTCACTAAATTATACTGTTGATGTGATTTGAATTAATACTAGTGTCGTCCATATATATGATGTTTTTGTGAAGATATCCAAATTTAATAATAGCTTCTTAAGTATTTTAATAGAGTGTAAAATAATTTGAGTACACTCTATAACTCCGTGATGTTTGATATATATATTATTCACCTAATGCTCTCACGCAAGTAACTAACAGATCATAAGGACTTGTTTTTGATTGTAAAATTTGCTTGCACAGACCGAAGTTTGTAATAGGATAACGTGTTATTCACACCGATTTAATATAAAGATATGCTATATATTTCGTTGTCGCTTCTATTTTTCTCATCAAAATATAGCACTTACTTTTATAGCAGTATTTGTGTGCTCTGCTGTCTGGCAATACTAAATTCAATCTTTATTATATTACAAAATTACAAAGCGATATACAAGTTTTATCAGAAGGTAAGGATTTGGCATATAAGCAATAATTTTTGCTAAAGGCAAACCATTGTCTTCACTTATACAATGCCATGATTCTTTAAATGAGTATTATATATATGATTTAAAAATATGTAGTAAAAACAATACTTTCAAGCAATTCCTGTGCGTATATATGTCTGTAACAATGTAATTCAAGTTACGTAACTTC